CACACACACACACACACACACACACACACACACACACACACACACACACACACACACACACACACACAGTGGCTTCTTTAAGAACGATGTCCCGCATGTTCTCATCTGTCTTCCAACATTCTCATCTTCCCCCGATTCCAGGCCAATGTCAGCAGGTTTTAAAGAACCTGATGATGACATCAGTGTCATCTAAACAGAACTTCTGAGTTCCCTTTGCTCTTCTAGTGTCCCTTTCTTGGGACACTGCAATATGTTTGTTTTTCCCCTGGGACACTTTCTGTTAGGACGTGGGCTCCCACATCCCCCCCGGTCCTCATTGCTGGTGGATCTCTGGCTTATTTGACAAGAAGTTGATCTCCCGTGGCATCCGCTGTCCCCTCGATTGCCAAGGTTGGGCTGGCTGATCTATCCAGATTAAGGATATGACTTCCTCCCTCATCCACCCATGTGAGTCTCTTTGGTCAACGAAGCCAAAAAAAAAAAAAAAAAAAAAAAAGGTTGGCCTTCTCAGCTTAAGGGGCAAAGGGCTTTGGTCAAGGATGTGGAAGAATTAGTTGCCCAGGAAGAAAAGCTAACGTGTTCTTAGCTCCATGGGTTTGTGCTTCTTTTTTTCCGGGCCCAGGCTACACACCATGTGTCCTTTGCCCCTGTCAAAACTCTGATGGAAAGTGGCATTGATGCTATCAGGGGAAGTTCATTTCAGCTTATTAGAGAATTCAGAAAAAATATGTTTAAGTCCAGAGAGAAGCATCAACGTCCCTCTCTTTATGACAGGAGAGCTCAGGGGTGACCCCAAAGCACATGGCTGTTCCGCCCTTGAACTAGGAATGAGGCAAGCACAATGCAAAGTCACGCAGGGCATACTTTTGCAGACGTGTGGTGAGGCAGGTGTTAGATGCTCCGTTTACGCCTTCCCATCTCCTACCCTCTGACAGCCGGGGGGTGGGGCACAAGACAGGCTTCAGTCATCCCATTGTGAGCCTAAGTGACATTTGCTCTGGGAAAACCCCGCATAGCTTCTCTGATCTTCCTCACTCCCCGCCTTAGCCTGACATCACTTCCTGTTCTAGAAACGAAGGCTGGGGAATTACAGCCCACAGATAAAAATGCTTGCTTTTGTAAATAAAGTTTTGCTGGAACACAGCCACACCGATCATTCGCTCGCTGTCTATGGCTGCTGCTGTGTCCCAGCGGCAAGCTCAGTGCTTATGACAGAGCGGGGTGGTAGGGACCACACGCCCCACAAGGCCTGGAATATTTACTGCTATGCCAAAGCGATCTAGTCCCCGTGTGGGAAGACCGGCTTTGATATGCCAGATCAAGGACTGCGGAGTACACTTTCGGGGGGGGGGGGGCGACGACGACAACGACTTGCTGATGAAACCTTGGTTCCAGGCAGCACAAGAACACTTGGATTCCTACTTCTTGGGTCAACAAGGAGGGAAGAGGTGACTTCATCCTTGCTGGGGTGTGCCTAGTTTCTCTTCAGATGCTATTGAAGGGTCAGGTGTACCCCTCAAGCCTGGCTCTGATTGTAAAGTTCGACTTTCTCCTTCGATGGTTTTGTCTACTTGTAGTTTGATGGGAAACTATGCAGGAACAACTGACTCGGGTCATTCTTTGGACAGTCATGGCAGCCGTGACCCAAGATGGCTACGGTCGTGTCAAGCTGATGGAATTGCTAGGATACGGTGGAGTGATTGACAGCGTGGGTCTCCGAATGACTGCGTTGGAGGCAGACCTTGCACCCGCCCTGCCTGGTCTGTGTAACATGGGGAGAACGTGAAGACCCTGTCGATTTTGTTATCAAAGCCGATCTTAACCTAGTAGATTCCCGCGAGCATTCGAGAAAAGCGCTCAGGAGCAGGAGGGGTTCAGAAGGCCTACTTACGCCCTGGAGAAGTGCACCACGCATGACACACCGATGATGACCAGGCCGATGATGATGGAGGCGATGCCCACCCACTTGGCGTTGCGCCCCAGCCTCCTGGCTCCTTCGTAGTCTCCGTCATTGTAGCTGTTCTGAGACTGGGGGACACACAAAGGAAAAGCCGGTGACCACAGGTAACCCAGGAGGAGAGGCGTGGGCCTTCTCAGGCTGTCCTGATGGAACAACCCTTAAGGAGCCCTTGGTGAGCGCTCCCCTCAGTGTCGGGCTGTTGAGAAAACAACATGGCTCCGTCATCTCCCAACATGGCTCCATCATCTCCCAGGAAGCTTTCCCAAGGCCTCTGGATTTCTTCCTTCCTTCCACCAGAGGGCTGATTTTTTGTCTCGCCCACCCCTCTAGGGAGTATGTGGGTGGTAACGCTCGTCTCTTTCATTCAGCCCAGCATGTCAGCTCCCAGAGCCGTACTTGTCAAATGGAAGACACTTAGTACATGTCTGTAGAATGGGAAGGACATGCCTGTGTCAGGCATTAGGGAGTCATTGCCAAGTCTCACCCACAGCCCGGGCCCGCTTGCCGCCCCTTCGGATCAAAGCCACACTGACTCATTTTTCTATTGCTGGTGGCCGCTTTTGAGCTACAGTGACAGCGTCAGGAACTTGGGACAGAAGTCATTGCATTTGCCAAACCCAAACTATCTGCTGTTGGGTTATTCACAGAAGACACCCAGCCATTCCTACACTAAAAACTTTGCCTCAATTATTCACCTCTATGCCCAAGTCAGGGCCACCTTTTAAGTAGTCCCCACAGACACAGCTTCTCAGGCTGTTAAAATGTTGCAGCAGATGAGAAATGCTACCCTGCGCCTTGGTCCTCCTTCCTTCATCCCCCAGCATCCTGGGTCCTTCTCTGTATCACCCGTGACTTCTCCAGGAACTGGCGTGCTAAGGGTTATTATTGAGCTCAGCAGAACCTCCTTTCCCACTCTGCCAGGGATGCTGCTCTGTGGGTTAGTTTGATCCCCAGAGACACCTAAAATGGGGGTGGTGGAGGCACAAAGGTCTGAGATCAGGACTTCAGGCGAGTCCTTGCCCCCAGCCAGCTCTAGGCCCGCCTGGGGCTGCTTGAGAAAGCCGAAGATTTCATCTTAGAGGTCCGAGTTCAGATTCTGTTTGAGAAGCTGTGATAAGTGCAGAATGTCACCAACCTTTCCAAGGCCCATTGTCCTTCTCTGTGCATTGGGGCAGGAGTGGCAGCAGCTTGACACAGAGGATCCCGTAAATTAACGTGTGAAGTGGGCAGCGTTGACCTTGTGTGCTCGATGCGCTCCGGCCTTCACTGTGAATTGGTTGCTACTCCCACCTCGTTCTTAATTGTAAGTCGTTGGGTGGAAAGAGAGGGGTGTGACCTCTGACCACCTCCGTGATCACGAGGATCCAAGTTCAGGCAGTGTTTTAGGTGGCGTCACAGTCAAAGTCAGTGTCCAGAACATTAGGAGTTCAAGTTCAGTCCTTATAATCTAGCCTAGGGTGATGATGATTCAGACCACCCACCTCTGACAAATCATTGTTCTTTTGTGTGTCCTTGGAAAATGTAATCTATGGATCAGTCATAGTGATGATTTGATTAAGAAAAGGAAAAATAATGAGACCTCCAAACAATGTTAACTCTTGACTGTTAGACAAGAAAAAAAAAAACCCTCACTTTCTCTAATAGCAGTAGGGAAGAGAGCCAGCCTGGGGCATACTGAAGGTCATAGGTATCTTCAGGGCATCACCTGTGGGCTCAGGTAAAAGGTGTGTGTGTGTGTGGGGGGCTCTGGGCTCTTTAGCTTGTTTGGTGCAGGTCAGCGAAGCCACACTGACCACCCGGCTGAGGGGTTTGAGTACAAGTTATGGTATATTCTTCCTCACCTGCAGCCAGCCTGGCATCCTGACCGTGACCCTCCTCCTCCGGTACCACCCTCTCTCCAAGACTCATGAGAGAGAATCTGAGTGAGGCCGCCACTGAGTTGAAACCCTTGAGAAGCCCCTTTCAGGGCCAAGGAGGGTTCTCTCCTTTGTATCCAGGACTCCCACTCTGAATCTGGTCTCCCCTTTGGTTCTTGGAGAAGGGCTCTCCCTGGTTGTCTCCTGGGTGATTGTAAAGATTGGGGGGAAGGATCAGGGCAGAAGACTATAGAATTCCCAGATTCCAGTCTGAGGGACTTGTGTTATGGTAGGGGGATCAGCTTAAGGGTTGACGCCAGAGTTAATAGTTGTAACAAAATATCCAACTGAAGCAGCTTAAAGGAGGGGCAGTTTCCTTTGGCACATGGCTTCATAAGTCTCCGTGCATCATGGCCGGGAAGCGTGGTGGCTGGGGCTGCTCCTCCTGTAGTGGCAGGGGAGTCAGGGTGGTGGCTTGTTCACATTGTGGCAAAGATCGGAAACAGAGAGAGAGGGTTTGGAACCAGAGGTGGATACCACCTCCAAGGGCCGCCACTAATGACCCACCTCTGCCAGCTAAGCCCCTCGTCCTAAATGTTCCCACAGCCTCCTCGGACAGCAGCGACAGCTGGGGATCGCGTGCTCGAACACGTGAACCTGTGGTGGACACTTCACACCCCAGCCTTTAACAGTGGAGAGCCAGTAACAGAGGGAGGAGTCCTCCGGCCCTGCCCAGTGCTGGACAAGTGCTCCCCGGCCCTAGCTACAGTAACTCTGTCCTCCTTCCGATTAGAGTGTCATCCTAAGGGTCTCCTGGCAGCGAGGGCAGACTGACCAGGTGGAAATGGGTTTTGGAGAAAATGCATGCTCTGTAAGTCCTTTCTTCTGAAGAGAAGAAACTCTGCCATCTGGTAGGAAAGGACGAGAGAGAAGCCTGGATGGCTTTAGCTGTCTAAGATGTACGTGATCTTGTCAGAGCGGATGCTTCCTTTGATGTCTAGGTCCTGTGGCTGGAACTCAGGGCATCAGGCTTGGCGGCGAGTGCTTTTGCCTGCTGGGCCACCTCCCTGGCTCAGTTTATACGATCTTACTCATTCCTCTAAAAATTATGAATGCCATCTGGATGCATGCCAATCATTTCAACACCACAGAAACAAACAGAACATAAAACTTCATTTAATCTCATTTCTCAGTCTTAAGCAGCTTGGTATGCCTTTTAGATGTCGCGTCCACAAATCCTGCGAAAATAATCCCGACACTCGCTCCAGCTTCCGTGATGACTAAGCGCGCTTCAACGGAGGTTAGGAGAAGGAAATTCGCACCCCAAGATAAAGCCATGGTAATAAGTCTGCGTGTCTAATCCTGACCCCTCACATGTGAAGGCAGCTTCATCCTCCCTTAGGCAAGGTTGGTGGCACAGCATAGGCTGTAGAGGGGTGTCTTGTTTTCACTATGAGCAGACGACTGTAAATCCTGGTGGACTTGGCAGATCTGCCATTGGCATTTCCTTTAAACACTCGTCTGTGCTTTTCATTGGCTGGCTGGAACTTCTGAATTGGACTTCCTTGCATTTCTTTCTAAGTAGGTCCCCTCTCCCTTTCTCTCTCCCCCTTCCCCTCCCCTCTCTCCCCTTCTCTTTTCCCTTCCCTTCTCTGCTCCTTTTCTGTATGCTTTGGCTCCTGCTATAGTTCAGTTCTGGAATGTTCCACAATGAGCCACATGCTGCAGGCTCGGTGGCAGAACCTTAAGAGGTGAGGCCGGGAGGCGTCAGGTCACTGAGGGTGTGTCCTCGAAGGGACTCGTGGGGTTCTGGTTTCTCCTCCCCATCTTTCTCTCTTCCCCCAGCTTCCATGAGGAGAGTCACTTCCTCTACCTTGTGTTCCTGTCATGCAGTTGACTCCTCACAGACAGACAGACAGACAGACAGTGCACAGAATGCTCTAGAACTGTGAGCCAAGGCAAACCCTTTCTCCTTCTGAGTTGATGGCAGGTATTTTGCTGCAGTGAGTGGAGAGCTGGCTAGAGCTGGCTGGCACAGCCTCCGGCTTACCCTGTGACGAAATAGCGAAGATAATGGACAGCATTTGTGGAACATTGCTTAGTGCCTGACATCACGCTAAATGCTTTCCAAGGGTTGTCTCATTTCTCCTCAGCTCTCTGAGGTAAGGAGTTCATCACTACTGTTTTATTGATGGGGAAATTGAGGCACAAGGTTAAGCCATTCACAAAAAAAGTTAGCATGGCTTATTTGTTTAAGTGTGTGTGTGTGTGTGTGTGTGTGTGTGTGTGTGTGAGAGAGAGAGAGAGAAAGAGAGAGAGAGAGAGAGAGAGAGAGAGAGAGAGAGAGAGAGAGAGAGAGAGAGAGATGGGCCTTTGGTTATTATTATTTTTTATTTATATAACTTGCTGGCTTCCACCTGCCCCAGGGTAGACAGCCTTCCAGGCTGGTGCTTCTAGCTCCTCCCTGTTTCTGCTTTCTGTTTCCATTTATAATTCAAGAGACTGAGTTAGAGTGACAGACTTCCTCCTCTTCATGTCCTGCCATCGTTGTATTCTTGGGGAGAAGTTATTTATTATTACAAGGACTTCCTTTGTTGCCCAGGCTGGCCTTGAACTCACTCATGATACTCTTGTCTCTGTCTCCTGAGGACTGGGATTAAAGGTGTCTACCACAATGCCTGGCCATCTAGTATTTATATTTATTAATTTAATTTGTGTGTATGTATCTAGGGGGTGGTACGTGTGCATGTGTGTGTGTGTGTGAGGGTGCAGAACACAGCCCCAAGTGTTATTCCTCAGGTGCCTACCTTTTTATCGAGACAGGGTCTCTCACTGGCCTGGCATTAACCAAGTAGGTCAGGCTAGTTGGCTAGAGAGCTCCAGGGATCCTCCTGTCTCGGCCTCTGTGTTCATTATTTTTAAACTAATACTCATGGAACCTGAACATGGCATGGGATTTCCTTCTAAGCTATAGATTTTATAATTTCACAAATGAATAACTTTTCCCTCCATCTTAGCCCAAAGCCTGAAAAGTGGTGGTAACAAATGAACAACTCTAAGCTCAGCAGTCAGTTGAGTCTCATTCATCTCAAAATGCTAA